CCATATTTACGACTGGGATCATCACTACGGAATGGAAGATTAACTATATATCTCCCTGAATTGTCCCGCTTCGTAGTATTTGTAAATATTTCTTCACATTTCTTTTCTTCTTCAGATAAATGTTTTTTAATATCTACACTGTTTTCAGCTTCCAACTCCCAAAATTTCTTTAATAAGTCATCTTCACTTACATGAGAAATATGCATACTAATTAGTAGCCTTTGTATATTATTTTTATCTAAATTTACAGGGCCAGAAATAATCCAACCAAGCGTTGTTCGCTGAGCTATAGGTACACCTGGTGGACCTTTGATTACACCATCTAACAATATCTGACTGTAAACATCTGCTCCGAGAATAATATCGATTTTGTTTGGTGTATGAAATGATGGATCTGCCAGTTTGATATTTGAAAACTCTGACCACAGTTCTACAATAACTTGCCTCTCAGGGAGGATTGAAGTGAGTTTACTCAAGACAAAAGCTTGAACCTTAAACGTAAAATTGGGATCATGAAGTGATTGTAATGAAACCGATACCATAGACTTAGAGGTCAATGAATGACCCTGATCACTTTCTAATCCTGTAATAACACTTTTGTGTGGTATCTTCTTTAAGGTCAGCAATTGAACAGCAGATTCAGTAATAAAACTAGCTTGAGAACCTGGATCTATTAAACATCTCAGTGTGATACCATTACCTGATTTCGATTGTGCGCTAACTAATGCTGTTGCAAGTAAGACTTGACAGTTTGAGGTCGAAACACAGGCTGTGACACTAGTGGATTGATCTACAGATGATGATGTTGTTGCATGTGCAACGACATCTTGTTCAACCGATTGATTTGCGATACCTGTAGTGTCGGTTGAATTGACATTGGTAACATTTTTTAAATGGAGTAGAGAATGATGCTTCCGTCTGCATAAACGGCAACGAGAGATTTGACGACAAGCAAATACAGAGTGCCCTGGACATAAACAGTTAAAGCACAAACCCTGGGATTGGACGAATTCGCGTCTAATATCAGTTTCCTCTTTAGAAAACTTTTTACAATTTGCTAAACGATGACTTTCAGAACAGTAAGGACATATTAAATTGGTTGTGTGGTATACTTTAGTATTATTATTAACATTACTTTTATGCACTACATTAGACTTAGACAATTTTGGATCAATAAATTCTAACGCTCTAAATCTAGTTTCTAAAAAGTCTTGGAACTGCTTCAAGGTAGGTAACTCATCTGAGAACTCGCTGATTTTGAGTTCCCACTGCTTGCGAGACTCCATATCTAATTTTTGACTTATAATATAGATAACAAGCACGTCCCAAGTACTGATGTCTATTCCTAAATTGTTAAGCCCATGAAGACATTCATTAGTAGTATCTAGCAACTCCTTTAGTGTACTAGCTGATTCAGTACTGATGCTTTTTTGATTCATAAACCTTTTCAGAATACAGTTTGAAAGATATTTTTTATTATTATATCTTTTCTCCAATTGTTCCCAGCAAATAGTGTAATTATCATGTGTAATCGGTACATGACGTAGTAATTGCTCCGCTTCCCCAACTAATAATCCTTTCAAGTAATGCAGTTTTTGTACGTCATCTAAATATTTATTATTGTGTACCAATGATACGAACAGATCTCTAAAACTAATCCATTCTGAATATTTACCTGAGAACGGGGATATAGATATCTTGGGCAGCTTTAAATTACAATTAATATTATTACTATTGTTTTGTTCGGAATAACTTGCATTTTCAGTACTAGACTGCCTTAAACTAGTCAATGCTTCCTTCAGTTGAAATTTGTATTCTATATATAACTCTTCAGTAGAATCATAGACGTTATTACATACGTAGGAACTAGCATTCAAATCTTTGTAGTCTGTATTTTGAATGAGTTGTATATGTGTCGAACTAAACTGACGCCATAATTCTTCTAAAGCTTCTAATCTAGTATTTATATAATCTATAGAACGAAGTCGCTCCTTGGGTGCCTTTTTGAAGTTAGATTTTGCTCTACTAATTCTTTCACTTAAATCAAGCTGTACTTTTATATATGAATCCATTGTATAAGTTTAATTTTAAAGTTTCAATAATATCCAAAGTTTTTACAAGTAAATATTTATATGAAATGTTTAGAGTAAATTCCTTAGTCTTCTGTAATTAGATAAATAAAATGTACTCACAGTTCACCAGCACTTATCACTTACAATACTATGTTCAGTTCTGCTTTGATGTCCTTACGGCTGCAATATGACGATACAATGTTCAACAACAACAACTGACGCTCGCCGACTTCGTACAAAAAAGCAGTTTAAATTTGTCGTTAATCCTCGATACTCCGACTCGATGGACCAAAAATATAGACGACGTACTCCAAAATGATACCACTTTAATAGTTCCACTAGTGTTTTTTATATTTATTTACATAACAAAATTATAGTTATAAGACATTACACACAGAGATACAAGAATGGTATGCTAAAATTCAAATCATTCTTATTCTTTTTTTAAATATACTATATGGCTTCTTTCCAGCCATGACCAATAGGTATGACTATTCCTTCAGAACTGAATCTTAAAAACGAGTCAACAATTGAGAGATTTAATTTCCATAAAACAGATTACGATAAATGTATTAATGATTTAGCTATTATTGATTGGAATGAATATATTCATCTAGATGGTAACGAATTTCTCCAAGTACTGTACAATAATATTTGGTCCATAATAGAAAAATATACACCTAAAATTAAAAACAATAATTCAGACTACCCGGTTTGGTACTCGACTTCGCTTAAAAAAATGATAAGGGAAAAAAATAAATATAGGATTAAATATCGTAAAGGAAGAAATCCCAGAGATATGGACTCGTATAAATTATTACGAGCTAGAGTAAAAAAGGAAATAGATAAGTGTCATCAGAATTTTATAGCGAAGATTGAGCGAGATCTTAATGAAAATATAAAGTCATTCTGGCGTTACACTAAAAGTAAACGTATTACAAATACTCTTCCGACCTCCATGCACTATAATGGCAAAAAGGCTGATAATGGTCATGATATTGCAAATTTGTTTGCAGAATATTTTGCCTCAGTGTATGGTACCTGTATCCCTAATAATTATAAACCTATATTTCCAACTGTTAATACAGTATTATCCACAATTACAATCTCTGAAAATGAAGTGTGTAAAGCACTTAGGGCATTAAAAGTTTATAAAAGTGCTGGACCTGATGGTATACCTCCAGTCTTTATTCGGCTTTGTTCAGTTGTATTAGTTGGACCGTTGACAATTATATTTAACAAATCTCTCAAGGAGGGCATTTTTCCTGACATCTGGAAGTTAACTAGGATTATTCCAATCCATAAATCAGGTGACAGAGCTAATGTATCTAATTACCGACCCATTAGTATTTTATGTTGTTTTGCGAAAGTTTTTGAAGGGTTAATTTACCCACATATGTATAGCCATATCTCTACTTTAATTAGTAATAAACAACATGGATTTGTTAAAAAGCGCTCAACCGCATCCAATCTTTTGGTATATACAAATTTCATTTGTTCGACTATTAATAGCAAAACTCAGGTTGATACGATTTACACTGATTTTACCAAGGCTTTCGATCGTGTCATCCATCAGATTCTTTTAAAGAAATTATTTCATATTGGTATACAGGGAGATCTGCTCAGATGGACTGAAAGTTACTTAAAGAATCGAACTCAACTCGTGGCAGTTTATGGATATGAGTCCGTACCATTTATGGCATCCACAGGCGTACCTCAAGGTTCGAACTTGGGACCATTATTTTTTCTTATATTTATTAATGACCTGTTAGACTCATTTAAATGTAACTGTCTGGCATACGCGGATGATATAAAATTATATAACGAAATAACAACTATAAACAATTGCATACAGTTACAAGAAAATCTTTCCATATTGTACAACTGGTGTGAAATAAACCATATGGCCTTGAATATTGCTAAATGTTGTGTAATATCTTTTACGAAAAATAAAAATATACACCAATTTGACTATAAAATAGAAAACAAATCATTAAAAAGAGTTACGGTTGTGAAAGATTTGGGAATAATATTCGACAGTAAATTATCTTTTCGTGATCATTATAATTCAACAGTAAAAAAAGCAAATCAGTTGCTTGGATTTATCATAAGAATGTCAAAACCTTTTAAAAGGGAAGCCACCTTAATTATTTTATTCGTCACGCTAGTTCGCAGTGTGCTTGAGTACTGTCCATCAGTGTGGTCGCCAATTTATTCTGTACATGAGGACAGAATTGAGTCGATCCAAAAAAATGTTATACGTCATATCACAAAAAAATATGCCAACAAACGTGTATTGACATGCTATGATAACAGACTCAAACATTTTAACATGAAGAGTTTGGTTGCGCGTCGTAAAATTATTGATCTAACATATTTATATAAAATTGTAAATAATGAATTGGAGGGTAATTTATTGGAGTACATAAACCTGAGAGCCACTGAACACTCTTCTCGTACAACTAAACTTTTTTCTATACCGTTCGCAAACAATAATGTGTCACATAATAATCCAATATACAGAATGTGCAAATTGTACAACGACATTGATTGTAAATCGGATATTGACATATTCTATCAGAAATTTTCATTGTATCGAAGCACTTTACATACATTGATAACTTAATAGTTTTTATGCATAGTTTGGTAGTTTTCTTTTTGATTCTTGTTTTGTATCTAGTTTTTATCATTAATTCTTTTTGTAGTAAAAATTAACCTATTTTGTTTCATCTCTGTGAATGTTGAGTACAACTATAATTGGATTGCAAACTTATAATGCTATTGTTGTATTCTATTGTTAAAAGTTTTGTTTGTAATCTGTTGTTGTATCACAAAAATAAAAATAAAAATAAAATAAATAAAATTATTAAACATCATTATTATAAAATGGAAAGAATATTAATGATGCTTTTAAACAGTATATCGTACCTGATAGCGAAAATCTCTTTCGTTGGCTTGCTTAGCTTTTCTCTGAAATTAGAAAAATAATATTGTTTATACAAGTAAACCAGAGCTAAACTAAAATGTATTAAAATAATAAGGGTTACCTACAAACTAAGCCACTAATAAGTAAGGCTCCCATAATTAGTGACGAAGTATCTATGACAAGACAATGACAAGTTGTTACCTATTACGATATTACCCAGCTCCCTGTCCTCGGCAGCTGGGTAATATCGTGAGGATGTAATGGTGTCGTACCCGTATGGTGCGCATGTGCTCGCGCTTGGCGCGCGCGTGACCGCAGAGGCGGCGCTGCAGCCAGCGCCACGCGTACACCACGGACTTGGGCGAGGGGATCACGTTGAAGGGCGGCGGCGCCGTGCCGCCCTCCTCGAAGTAGCTGATCCAAAGCTTGCTGCGCGCGAACTTCCACTCCACGTCGGCTCGCTCCTGCACACGCACACCACCACCACCATCATCAACACCATGCACCACGTCAATATCAGATTACTGTATATAATAGTAATCAAAAGAAAGTAATTAAAATTAATTTAAAAACATTAAATTGTCAGTCCCTCTGCCCATATCGTTATAACCTCATAGGGCAGTTAACTTACTAGCTAATCCGGCACAGATTGTTTTATCGTCTACATATTATCAGAATCTAGCATATAATAAAAAACGTAGAATACTTTTTTCTTCTTGGTTATGTTTCTAATTCATTGCTTCAACTTATTTCTTTTTAATATGTTAAAATGCATCATTGAAAATGCATCTAAAACATGCAAATGCATGTTTTAGAATGCATTTTCGATTGGATACAAAGACAAAAAGTTAAAAAATTAATAAAATTTTAAAGGACTACGCAAATAACGGCAACAAGTCTTTCAAGACCGTATTTGGTGATAGCGTTCAGAATGCGATCTGGTCATGTTCCACTCAACAAATTTTATCATCTTATAGGAATGAAACAATCATCAAATTGTATGTATTGTGACAAAGTGGAAGACCTTCTACATTTGCTGGTGGAATGTGGCCGGAATTGTAACCTGAAACAGCGGATTCTGGGCAATATGACATTATATAACGGTAATGTCAATGTAATACTGAGTCAACCTGGCAGTCGCAATGCAAGACGGCTATATCTGTGGGTAAAGGTGTCCCTGACGGACTGACAGACTGACTTTCAGACAATCCCTATGAGGCTGACATAGTCACTCCGGTGTACTAAAGCCTCAACAAAAATTAGAATAAAAAAAAAAATAACGGTTGACAGAACTCACCGATATTAACTGGTAAGAGTGATTCATCATGGCGATGAGCAGATTGAGCAGAACGATCACGTTGATCACCTCGTAGGTGCCGAACATCAGCATGCCCCAGAACCGCGTGAAAATCTTGATGCCGTCCAGTTCAAAAGAATCCAGGTCGATCAAACCAAACGCCGCCCAAAACAGCGTCTGCATCGTCTCAAATAAACTGCAAAATACAATCAGAATCAGATGAAGTTTAAAGATTAAACATCTATCGACTATATTTAACTGAAGTTTGTGTTCTTACTTAGCGAATCGACGCCAAACAATACAAGCGTCTGGGTCCGGCAGTGTCCCGTTGGGGGTCAATGATGAGTTACCAGTACTGCAGCGTTTCTTCTCCATGTCAGCGTAATACCATAATAACTGATTTAGTCCTAGAAAAATAAAGCGAAATATGGTATAACTCGTCTGGTTGGTCCCGGCATGTAATGGGCCACCCCTTCTTTTCCCGTAGGTGTCGTAAGAGGCAACTATGGGAGCTTATGGTCGAGGGATACGCTGTAGCGTCCCTTTTGAAACATCTTTAAAGCCTAACTGCGATAGCCAACCCGCATGCCAAGCGTGGTAGCTACTGACAAAACACCTCAAAGGGGAGGCTTATGTTCAGTAGTGGATAGTTTAAGGTTAATTTGATGATAATAGGAAACACAGATTAGCTCCACGTATCAGTTCTATTATTAACTAATAAACACTTATATTCGTAAATATCTTTAAACTATACATCAGACAGGTCACATCAACTCACCACAAGAAAAAGCGAAGATTACAAGTATATCCAGCACGAAGAACTTCAATATGTCGAGCACCATACGGCTCAGTGACACCTGCAGCGGCCCAAGGTGCGGGTTGACGCTGAAGATGTACACCAGTTTAAGACTACTGAATATATTCGCCGCCGAGAATAGACCTTCAGAGAGCAGCATGGGGTCCCAAGCGTCCCAGTTCTCGCGCGGTTGGTTCCACTGTAGCCCCTGCGCCATCTCTCGCCGAACCTGAAAATATAGTCACTTTATATAATATAATTACTGTTGTAACAATTACAGTGATCTAAATTGAAACACAAACACTTTAAAACATACAAACAGAAGAAACTTCCGCGTCTAGGGAAAGTAGATAAAGTTTTGTTTGAGAAATCAGTTCAGGGTACGATAGGACTGATATACCTGAAGAAGGTAAAAGCCCTTAAAATAATATTAAAAAAAAAAATACTCCGCAATACATGTGTTAATCTGTCTTTGGAGATGTCTTTGTGATTCTCATGGTACTGCTCATGGCGACGGTTACCACTTTCCATCAGGTGAGTCGACTTCCTGTTTGCTATTCTATTCTAAATTTGCTATTCTGAATTGCATAAAATACAATAATCTCTCCCTGCAATAATGTCACAGTAAGCGTATTTTCCTATTGAATCATGCCCACGGCTACCTGAAAATGCGAGACAATGCGAAGGGCGACAGTGGCGACGTACAGCGAGTTGGTGACGAAGTCTATCACGTTCCACATGTCGTGCACGTACTCCCGCAGCCCCATATCCCATAATTGTTTTACTTCACTCCAAATCAGACCTGTACCAAAAATTATATAATATTATTGTTAATTATTTTTGGATTTTATAATTATTAATATTCTAATATTAGTTGTTAAACTTCTCATATAATTAGGAATTAGTCTCCTATACTTAGGTGATCCTGTCTTATAACATCCTAGAAATAAAAAGAAGTGGTGGTATTCTGACTCCATTACCACACAGAATGATTTATGTAACTTGCCTGAAACCAGCGTGTTACCTATTCTAAGCGTATAACACATCTGTTATTATGTTTTCATGTAAAGGATACGGATAAGGAAAGTTAATGCAATCTCTGACTCACACAACAGTTTAACATATTCTTCAAAACTTTTTTTCTTTAAAAGTAGTTTAACGCCGACATGTACCCTTCGAAGTACGAAACGAATGATCTGATATCATTGCTAAATCATTTAAAAAATTCAGAAATTCATGCTGATGTTAATATCTCCGGACACACCCCTCCCCTAAAATTGTTAGACAATATATATAATAAAATAATATAGTAGGTACTAAAGTAAAACAAATAAAAAAAAACTTATTAACGAAAGATTTGCATGAATGCGGTGTAATACTGACCGCTGACCCAGGCGAGGATGAGCCACTCGACGAGCGAGGGCGGGGCGCCGCGCCGCGACATTGGCTGCTGGGCGCCCGGCGCCGCGCCCCACAGCAGCCCACCCGCCGCTGTCTCGATGCGCTGCGACGCCAGGATCAGCAGGACTGCAACCCACCCACCTCTCGTACTTGCTTACGTGACAATCCTATACTGTGCTACTCAAGGGCCCTCGAAATTTTTTGGAACATCATTCAATTCTTTGGAGAGCATGTTGACCTAGTAATTTATGGTTCATATACTGTTTTGTTGTTCTGTACTTCGATTCCCGACTCAATCAAAAAATGGTCAAGGCAATAATTTAGGCCAATGAGGAAGATAATATCATCTGATACCCATTATTTATTATATTTGAGTAATGGACTCTTTGAAGCATGTGTCGAAAGAACTAAATTTCGCCCGCTTCTCCATCTAAACTTGTTTGCTGCACTTATGCAATTTGCTACTAATCTCGGTTATATTAGCTCTGTAATACCAAAAAAAAAAATACGTTCGCGATACTAAATGAGTATATCATTCTGCGCCTTTTTGAAGAACTTGATGTACATTGTTTTAAAGAGCATCAGTACGAATGTTATCGACTGCTTACATAGAAACATGAAGTAACTAGCGGAATGGCAGAGGAACTTGATGAAGGGCTTGCGTAGCGTGCGGCCGGCAGCGGAGTGCGGCGCGGCGATGTAAGCGAGCGAGTACAGCGGAAACATGGCGCCGATGCGCACCATCTCCGCCGCCTGCAGCAGCATGTTCTTGCGTCGGAAGCCCGGCACACTCTCGTACCAGATCGACGCCAGCAGCTGCTGCACATTCGGGTGCGCTACGAACTGTGTGGACAACGGAGGTCACGAGATCAAAACGTCATTAAAGTATTAATTATGGTAATTATTATAAAAAAAAAAATAAACAAAAACAAGATTCACTTTATATTTTCTTATACAAAATTATAGCAGACACATTTTCAAAATAAATTCAATTTACTTTTATATCATTGTGTGAATAATAAATAACGTTATACAATTTTGCTCATTAGGGAAATAGAAATCGGGAAGCGAGCCAACAAATACATAATTGTCGGTCATTCCTTATTGACGCCAGGGCAGATTTTCACTTACCTTCTTTTGCCTCAATTTGATTGCGAGCTTCAACCTGGACAATCGCATCCGCTCCGGCGCCCCGGGCTCGATAAGCGGCGCCTGCGGCGAGCCAGTTTCATGATTCAGCAACACCTGCAGCTCGTGCGAGGTACGCGTGTGGTCGAGAAGTGCCGTGGCGAACTCCTGGCACTGGGCGCGCAGCTCCTGGTATTCAGTCTTGAACTCGTGCTCGAGCGCGGAGAGCCGCCTCAATTCCCACGACAGCTCGAATGCAGTGAGAATGGGGTCTTTGGAGGAGAGTGCGATGAGAGAGGGCGAAGCGAGCGCTCGATAGGCGTTAATGCGCGAGCGCGAGTGGCGCAGCGAGTCCTCGCGGCGCGAGCGCACGCACTCGTCACAGCCGCAGCGCACGTCGTGCGGCACCGGCAGCCCTGCGCCGCGGTCCAGCAGCAGCTTTATGATCTCGTAGCTGTCGCGATGCGCCGCCAGTATCAGGGGCGTTATGTCCGCCGTGAACGTTGCTGTCTCCGGTGGTAGTGCCTCCCAACTCTGCAAACAATTAAGTAATTAGGTTGATAAAGTATGCGATTAGATAATCACATCGATTACTCTGCACATGAGAACTAAATTATATATATAGGTCGATAGATATTCAATATATTTTTTTAAATATAACAATAACTATAACCTGCGACTTCCCCCGTGTATATTATGATAATGTAAATTTGATAAATCATAATGTCCTGTCCTTCCTTTCAACCATTACTATTGAATAAAAACATAAGAAAATCATGCGAACTTTCACATTTATAATATTATTTCAATTTTTGTGACCAATAGAATGTGGTACAAAAGGTGGACTTAATACATATTAGTCTTAAAATAGTAGGAAATGTTAAATAATTTTACGTAAATTATTACATTATTAATTTACATAAACCACATTTCGATATGTTTAACAAAACAACTCACATGTAGTTCCCCGGGCTTGCGCGTGCGCTCCTCGTGGTCGAGCAACGCCTCGACTGCCTCAACGAACTCCTCAGAGATGGCGTGCAGCAGCGCATCGCGCGTCTCCACGCCGAACTCAAGCAGCAGCTCCACCATCTCGAGGTTCTCGTTGTCGATGGCCATGAGCAGCGCGGAGCGGCCCAGCGGGTCCACGCAGTCCACGTTCACGTGACCGGTGTCGCGCGCACGCTGCAGCACACGCCGCGTGCCTGCCACGTCGCCCCGCTCCACGCCCAGCAGGTACTTCTTCTCCTCCAACGACAGCACCGCCATCTCTTGATGTGGTCGCACCACATTCTCCTCCTCTGTCATGCCATGTATGCTATGTCGCTACAACCAATGCGGAAATCCTTCATATCGTGTCATCACGGATGTAAGTGTAAATCTGAGGCGTAGACCATTCGAGTTTCAATTTCTAATTTACTAACTAGGCACATCGTATAATGCGTGTGCATTTAGATATCGACGACATTCAGTAAACTTGTATTTTTTAGTAATATGCGTAGAGAATATAAAAACAATAACGAGCTCCCGACATCCATGCAATAAAATTAAAGTAGGTCAATAGTGAACGGTGTGTACTATCTACTATCTTATGTCAGATGTCAGACACGGCGCGAGACGCAATGGTGTCAGCTGGGTAGTGAGCGCGGCGGCGACGTGGCGACGCTCGCAGCCAGCCACCTGCAGGGCTGCCAGAGGGTGCGCGCCCTCCGCCGCTCGGACGCCCACTACCACTCATTATGCAAATGGGTCGCGAGGGCCGCGAGCCGATGTGCTATCCCCTAACGACTTTGGCACCCGACTCAACATCTTATAATAAATAAACAAATCATTCATACTTCATTTGCAGGTTATGTTAACGACGAGTCGCTCGAAATCTTGCACCCGATAAGCAAGAACCGAAAATTTATCTTCGGAGCTGGTGCACGAACAAACGTTTTATCTTTTTATGAGATAAATTAAAAAAGACAGAATTCATTTGTTCTCAGTTCTCTGCCTACCATGTTCTGAACCTGATGGGATGTAATGCTCGCAATTAATAGTTTTAATGGAAACAAAGCCATATTGTAATTTGCTAGTCATCGGGCTCACGATACCATCTGATTGTGTGAAATAGAACTTCAATGTAAATATTTACAAACGAGACACGTGTAACGTACAGTTAGTATAGAGCATTCGATTTGAACTCATCAACCTTCAACACGGCGAATCTTTTTCCGAGATTTACCTACTCGTTGAAGCCCTGTTTTATAGAGGAAGTAATTCATCATGCTGTTGTTAATGCTCTTTTACAATAAAGTATGTCCAATGTAAATAATATGTTCAGGTGTAGCTCGTCGTATGTAATTCCATACGCAGAGTACTAATATGACCAGTAAATGGATATGGTACCTTGACTTTGTTATCGAGAGGGCGCGGCTCAGGCGCCAGCAGGTTGCCGAGCTCGACGCGGCACGTGGACGGGCGGCGCGCGTCCACGTCGACGCTGCCGCCGCCCCCGCTCCCGCCCGACATCTCCGAGCCCCCGCTCTCTGCGCGCGCACACACACACCTGGTCACCGGCGGCCGCGCCCAGCTGGCTGCTCGAGCGCAGCCGCCGAAAACATGCACGTAAGCGACCGTGCGGCTCGTCCACCAATTTTTTAGAACTGCCTGACGATTCACATCGTTGCAATGCGGATTGCGGACGGATGGGATATATTTAGCACGTGAAGGAGGCGCACGGCAAGGCGGCGAGGGAATGCGTTAAAACACTCACCGGCGCCATCTCCGCTGCGCGCGCCATCCCGCGTCCGCTCCGTGAACTGCAACAAAGAGAATCGTGAATGAGCACTTAGTACATAGCGGACGCAGGACGTGACCCTCGACCGCTCCAAGAGTTCTTTCTAATTCTGCTTTCTTATTATCGAACACCTAACACCTATGAGACACGATATATCTATATTTTCCAGTGAAGCTTTAAGGTTAGGTTAGGCCTATCGACCAGAGTTAGTACTATACGGCCAGACGTACCTGCACGCGGCGAGTGCGGCGCGCGGCTATCTGCCGCGAGTGGCGCCGTAGAGCCTCCAGCGTGGCGCGCGGTGCGTGGCGCGGGCGACAGGCGGCGGCGGTGCGGTCACGCGCGGTCCCGCGGCGCCGGCGAGCTGCGGCCGCTCATCGCGCTCAGTCTCGCCCCGCGGCGCTACCTCTACACGCTCCCAGCTTGTCCGTTCTGCAAGTGGCCAGTTCAAAGCTCCTTATTATTGCATCGTAAAAATATTTTTGTATATAATGTGTACCTACACGCTGGTGTTTACACGACGCTGTTTCATAAAATTATAATATTATTATGTATCCACTGTAGCTTAAATTTTAGAACCGCGTTATTGATTTAACTATCGTATCCTTGTCTTTTTTAATTAATGATGACTAAAATCTAATTATATTTATACCTTCCCATGATACAATTTTCGCTCGAAGCCCGCTGGAACATATGCGTTGTTTCTAAACATTTACAACAAAAAGGTTTCTATTCATAAAACATTTTATAAATGTCAATATCTCTTAATACATTTCCGAGATATTGATCTGAAGTTAGCAACAATCGTTCATTTTTATCTTTCGTCCATATAATCCTATAAGACAATCGCAACTCAAACCTATTCGGGGGGTAACGAATTGTTAGTAATGAGGTCTAATGAATCCATTGCTAGCAATACACCCTATCAGGTCGACATCCTGGAAGCCATCGTGGTTAATTCTAGTGGAATTCATCACGATAGGCTAACTGACCTGTTTTCATTGTCACCTATCATCCCTCACTGGTACCCTGCCAGCGAATAACGATAGCGCGGGCGGGGTTACCATTCCATTATCATCCATTAAAAAAAAACTCAAACCTATTCTTATAAGATTACATCGAAGTTATAATTCTGATGTAATCTTAACTGCAGAATAACTCGATACTAATTTATTTTTGAAACGAAAAAAACCAGTGCCTATGGTTAGCAATATTTTAGCAACAAATGTATACTGTCGAAATGTTCCATCTACGACCGGAAGCAAAGTAAAAATTTTAATTTGGAGGAGAGTACATTTCAGCTGTACGGCACCGTTTACTGAAGCCGGAAATATGATGGTTGAGCGCAAAGTATTTATGGATCCAATACTGATCACTAAACGGAATAATTATAAATTATTTTTATCGTTTTCTTTCTTTTATTCATTTCTTTTATTTCTTTTTTTTTTCTTTTAATCACACAGACACAAAACTACTGTAGATTTATATGATTATACATACATATCTGTCACGCCTGTCTCCCATTAGGGTAGGCAGAAACAATGGAACGCCAAATGCTTCGATTCAAACGAACCTCAGTCGCTTCTTCCACATTTATCAATCTTTTCATACACGCTCGCCGGTTACGGGTTGTGTTTAAGTTCGAAGGAATGGCAACGCAAGAAGAGTGCTGTTAGTATATTTTTAATGTCCATGATGTTTTTTAAAACTATACATAATGGTTACCATTTCTAAATCCATAAAAAATAAGCCTAGAGTATGTGTTTTTTTTTTACAACACAGGTGGCAAACGAGCATGCGGCTCACCTGATGGTAAGTGACTATCGTCGCCCATGGTCACCCACAACACCAGCGGCATTACAGGTGTGCTGCCGGCCTTTTAAAAAGGAATATGCTCTTTTCTTAAAGGTTATGTTGCGTTTGCTTTATATTCAGTATGCGCGGAAACTGTTTCTTAGTATATTTATATTTGCTGTTATTGTTGAAAAAGCTGTTCAGCCAAATAAATAAATACCTAAATTATACGGATTACCGGTAACATTAACATAACAACACACATATACAGTCGTAGCAACACGACGAAATTGAAAAGTTTGCGGCGCGAAGAGAAACAACACGAGAGTAAGATCCAAACAATACATCTACAAAACATCACGTAACACGCACAAACGAGCAGCTAACAAGGTGCAAATTGAAAATATCCTTTTTTTGAAGTCGCTTGAAAACGTTTTATGAGATAAAAATATCTTAGCTTTCAGTTTCTAAAGAGCACCTCAAAGAGAGTAGCGCAAGCTGATTTCTCGCACTTTCCCTTTGATAAGCACCCGCGGCCGCCGACAATAGCGCCGCACAATGGAACACCCGTATTAATCGTCGGCGATTGCGAAGCTTTTCAACTGGTCAATGTGTTCGCAAAAGATAAAAACATAACCGCCAGTTTACCTTACATTTTATCTTCCACATATTGTGTGTAAAAATAAACTGCAAATACTTGGTGAGTTTGTGAATATCAGTTCGGCAACGAAACCCATTCACGCTATTTGTATACATTCTTGAAAAGTTTTGGTAATAAAAAAGTATTGATTTTCTATACAATATTTTCTCATAAGTATTTGTTTTACAGCACCCTAACACTAAGATTCAAGAGCGCAGGAATGCGGCATACGATGCTTGGAATTGATGTTCTTTTGTTTGTTACCTCATCACGTTAAATTAATTAAAAAAAAATGGTACTTACCATATAGGTTCGAGCGAAATAAGTTCGCTCCACGATCGCAATAAATGTAAAATTATTTTTAATTGTATAGTCATGTTCATCAAGTAAATTTCTGTAATCAATTATTTTTCAAACGGTATCAATTAATTTTTAAAATTATTTACAATACGTTTTTAAATACTAATAATATTTACTGACGCGTGCGTTATTTACATCTCACATCTATACTTATTTACAAGAGCTCCACATCATGTAACGTTTATCTGTGATCTAAACAAGAAATCACCATAACGTTCTTCGAAAATATTATACGTTACCGTAATAATTATCGCGAGAAACAACTTACACCTTCTTTTTTATACAATATCAAATGGCAAACTAGCAAGAATTAATCTGATAACCGCTCAATCGTTGCTATTCCTGAGACCAGAGGTGTTATATCTTTGTACCCTGTACGAGGTTTGTCCGGAAAGTACGTATAAAAGTTTTTTAAAAATTTTATTTTACAATTATTCAGGTAAATCAATTTTATCCCCTTCAAAGTACTCCCCCTGTGACATAATGCACTTGTGCCAACGCCGTTTCCACTGTGAGAAGGCTCCTTGAAAGTCCTCTGGTTGTAGGTTTCTCAGCTGCCCCGTCGTAGCTTTTTTTATCTCATTTATGTCCCCCAAATGCCGCCCCCGAAGTACCAATTTGGTTTTTGGGAACAAGAAGAAGTCACACGGGGCCAAATCCGGCGAATAGGGGGGTGTTCGGTCACCGTAATGGAATTTTTACTCAAAAACTCACGGACAACAAGAGAGGTGTGGGCAGGGGCATTGTCGTGGTGAAGAATCCAACGCCCCTCTCGCGCCAATTCTGGACGAACTCGTGCCACACGAGCTTTGAGGCGTCTGAGCACATACGTAGAATTTTCCATCAACTGTCTGGCCTGGAGGGACGAATTCTTGATGGACAATCCCCCGAACATCGAAAAAAACAATCAACATTGTCTTGACATTTGAGCGGGATTTTCTTGATTTTTTTGTTCGTGGTTCCCCGGATGTCTTATCGAATTAGATCGGCAAAAATTTCACGGCCATTCTTGCCGAGTTTCGAGAGAAACTTGATTACGACGCGCTGCTTTCAACGGAAGCGGGCTCCATGCCGACGGGGTTTCGTTAAGAGGTAACTTCACAGATGGCGTGACAAGCCAGTTCGCACCGCACGGCGGTCAGACCAGAACTGAAGCATTGTTAGGGACATAAGGAAGGGGTCCTGCGCTTACCTGGCCTCCCCACTCCTCTTTCTCGCATTCCAGAACACTTTTATACGAACTTTCCGGACAGACCTCGTATATTCACCACCATATCCCACTCTTCAAACCGGAACACAGCCATTCCAATATAATTGCTGGGAGGAGTGTCAGTGATGGGGTCTAACTGACCCATTGCTAGCAATACACCCTATCAGGTCAACCTCTACGTGGTTCCCTCTGGAAACCATCGTGGTTAATTCTAGTGAAATTCGCCACGGTGGGCTCACTGATCTGCTTTCAACGTCACCTGTCATCCCTCACTGGTGCCCCGTCAGTGTATACCGTTAGCACAGGCGGGGTTACTATTCCATTATCATCCATAAAAAAATACAATTGCTTAACAATAGAAACAGGTGTGGGAGCCACATACTTGCAGACGACTTTTGTACATAGTCTTTTTCTAGTAAACTGGGACAAACAGAGTGTGGACGACTGTAGCACGTGCCTTTATGAGATGGTCGAGACTGACTGACTGAGACTGCTGGATGGATGAAAATGTTCCTAGTCACATACCTGAGCATGAAAAGGATCGAGCAAGAACAAAAACATGATATCTTCAAATTTTACAGACATCGGTTTCTCTGGAAACTTTGAATTTGTATATAATCTCTAAAATTATTTGAGATCAGATAGAAGACGTGCTTAGAACTTAAATGAAGACACTTTCTCAAAGCTTTAATTAATTTAATAAACAAACTTGCGTCATCTATCTAAAGAGCCGCAAATGCCTCAATGTTTGCCTTAATTGAGGATAAGGCTCCTCGGTATGCAGTGAAGACTGCTAGCCCTGAGGCTACCCAAATGAAGACCCTTCTGTTACGTGTGCATTTACTGTGAAAGGTGTTTTCATGTACGGCAACGGAAA